ACAAACTACACAGACCACCAGACAAACTATACACTGAACAAACTACACTGACCACCAGACAAACTACACTGACCACCAGACAAACTATACACTGAACAAACTACACTGACCACCAGACAAACTATACACTGAACAAACTACACTGACCACCAGACAAACTACACTGACCACCAGACAAACTATACACTGAACAAACTACACTGACCACCAGACAAACTATACACTGAACAAACTACACAGACCACCAGACAAACTATACACTGAACAAACTACACTGACCACCAGACAAACTATACACTGAACAAACTACACTGACCACCAGACAAACTATACACTGAACAAACTACACTGACCACTAGACAAACTATACACTGAACAAACTACACTGACCACCAGACAAACTATACACTGAACAAACTACACTGACCACCAGACAAACTATACACTGAACAAACTACACTAACCACCAGACAAAACTATACACTGAACAAACTACACAGACCACCAGACAAACTATACACTGAACAAACTACACTGACCACCAGACAAACTATACACTGAACAAACTACACAGACCACCAGACAAACTATACACTGAACAAACTACACTGACCACCAGACAAACTATACACTGAACAAACTACACTGACCACCAGACAAACTATACATTGAACAAACTACATGACCACCAGACAAAACTATACATGAACAAACTACACTGACCACCAGACAAACTATACACTGAACAAACTACACTGACCACCAGACAAACTATACATTGAACAAAGTGTATCACCCGGCAGTACTGTTCAACTGTGTATTATGATACAGCAGCACCTGGTTAACCTTGCACACCTCGTCTCACTCGCTTCCCTATCTCCTGACGGTACTTCGTAGCGTCCCTTTAGTTCGCATCCAATTTGCATCTTCAGAGATGTAAGGATTGTATTTCAACGATATACAGTGAAGACTCAGACACTTATGCAATATATGGAAATCTTTATAAAGACTCCCATATAAATTAGATACATGTGCAACACCTGAGAGTCTTGTAGACGCTTCGCAAAAACGTCTACAAGGTACCCGGATGTTGCTCATGTACGTAAATAACCCGCATATACGAGAAAATTCTGACGATGTTTCGGTCCGACGTGGACCATTAAGTAGTGACCCTGAAGCGCCAAGAGAAGGGAACACATTGTTCAGAGATGTACTAAGTACATTCACCTGTGTGCTTTCATGGACACAGGTGCAGTGCTCACAGGATATACCTTGACCCTGGCAACACCTTCCTCTCAGATGACCTGACCAAACATGTTTCCTCTTCCCTGGCTTCCTCTTTTCCTGGCTTCCTCTCCCCCCGGCTTCCTCTTCCCTGGCTTCCTCTTTTCCTGGCTTCCTCTCCCCCTGGCTTCCTCTTCCCTGGCTTCCTCTTTTCCTGGCTTCCTCTCCCCCCGGCTTCCTCTTCCCTGGCTTCCTCTTTTCCTGGCTTCCTCTCCCCCCGGCTTCCTCTTCCCTGGCTTCCTCTTCCCCTGGCTTCCTCTCCCCTGGCTTCCTCTCCCCTGGCTTCCTCTCCCCTGGCTTCCTCTCCCCTGGCTTCCTCTCCCCTGGCTTCCTCTTCCCCTGGCTTCCTCTCCCCTGGCTTCCTCTCCCCTGGCTTCCTCTCCCCTGGCTTCCACTCCTGCCAGCTTAACCATCATATTAAAATTCAGTTTCACGTCTTGACTGTCAACGTCATGATGGCGTCCCTCCTAGTGGTGTTAAACTAGCCCTCCTAGTGATGTTAAACTAGCCCTCCTAGTGATGTTAAACTAGCCCTCCTAGTGGTGTTAAACTAGCCCTCCTAGTGATGTTAAACTAGCCCTCCTAGTGGTGTTAAACTAGCCCTCCTAGTGATGTTAAACTAGCCCTCCTAGTGGTGTTAAACTAGCCCTCCTAGTGGTGTTAAACTAGCCCTCCTAGTGGTGTTAAACTAGCCCTCCTAGTGGTGTTAAACTAGCCCTCCTAGTGGTGTTAAACTAGCCCTCCTAGTAATGTTAAACTAGCCCTCCTAGTGGTGTTAAACTAGCCCTCCTAGTGATGTTAAACTAGCCCTCCTAGTGATGTTAAACTAGCCCTCCTAATGGTGTTAAACTAGCCCTCCTAGTGGTGTTAAACTAGCCCTCCTAGTGATGTTAAACTAGCCCTCCTAGTGGTGTTAAACTAGCCCTCCTAGTGGGTTAAACTAGCCCTCCTAGTGGTGTTAAACTAGCCCTCCTAGTGGTGTTAAACTAGCCCTCCTAGTGGTGTTAAACTAGCCCTCCTAGTGATGTTAAACTAGCCCTCCTAGTGGTGTTAAACTAGCCCTCCTAGTGATGTTAAACTAGCCCTCCTAGTAGTGTTAAACTAACCCTCCTAGTGATGTTAAACTAGCCCTCCTAGTGATGTTAAACTAGCCCTCCTAGTGGTGTTAAACTAGCCCTCCTAGTGGTGTTAAACTAGCCCTCCTAGTGATGTTAAA